AATATATGGATGGCCCCGAAGTATTCTCAACTGTATAAAAATCAGCAAAACCTGAGATATAGGGTGTTATTTACATGTATATTTACATGTTAGGTACATTTTTTAAAAATTCTAGGTCATTTGACATGGAATTTATGTGCCATGTTAAGTTTTTCCTTATAACAATTATATCTGGATCGGTGAATTGCTTTAGATGCCTCTCTGCTTTGTTTTATTTTTAAATACATTAACGTTTTTAATTTTTATTTATTACGTTATTTATTTAGATTATTTTTCATTAAATCTGAAAAAATATTACTAAAGATTTTATTAGCAGAACTTGTTTTTAACACTGTATTAGGTTTTAAGATTTCATGAAAAGATCCTGTTTTTTACAAATGTTAGAGAAATTTTGAATTTAAATTTATTTTAAATTTTTAAATTATTTTGAATTATTTGTATAGCACTAATTTTAGTTTTTTTTAGTATAATAAATATAAGTTAGACTTTTAAAGTGTTACTTGTAAAATGAAAAATTGTTTTTTGCTAACATCATGACATGTAGGATAGATTATGGTAATATGAGCACCATTGGTAATATGAGCATATTAAGAAATTTCAAAGATGTAAGCAGTGAAGTTAAAGTTGCTTTCATAAAGAAAAATTTGTTAGCTAGATATCCGTTTTATTTTTGTTTGAAAAACAATGCATAGAAACATTTAGTTATAATTTTATTTAAAAATACCATTTTTGTGTAATATGAGCACGCTTAAATTACACAGTGTTTTTCATTGAAATTACCTAGTTTAAAATCCTAAAATTGCAGTGATTTTAACTTATTTTTGAATAAAAACAAATAATAGTAAATTTTTTTTAACATTTTAATAATACAAAATATCTCTATGTTAAATTCAAAAAATTTGCAATTTTATCATTTAAAAGTTTGAGTTAATAAAATTGAAAATAAAATAAACCATGACTTACTAAATAATAGGCCTTGCCAACGCGCGGCTTGCGTCAAAAACTGGAAGATAGTTTTATATTTGAAAAACTAGAAAATTCTCGAAAACAGTTATACAAAATAAATATGGGAATAGTTTTTTGTAATAGTAATTATATAACATATATATTTAACTAAAATAAAACTAATTAATTTTTATTCATTATATTTTAAATAATATAATTTAAGTTAAATAAATATATACATATACGCATCAGTTCCATGTTTGCATAAAATTTATGATTACAAAACACTCGTCAGTATTCAAATCAACTTTCAAGTTTTAAAAGAAGAGAATCAGTTTAGAAGTGAAAGATAAGGCGATGTATCTATATAAGTATTCTAAAAATGGCTCATTGATGTTGTGTAAATAATTGCAATGGTAGTTATAATCCTCAGAATAGAGTTGAAACATCAAAGAACGAAAATGTTGGATTGAATACCAAGAGATAACATTCCTGATACTAATAACACCATAGTATGTGAAAGACATTGGCCAAAAGGTTATTTAACTGTTAGTGATTATGGGAAGCTGAGACCTTGTGATGCTGCATCAGTATTTAGTAGCATAAAGCCAAGTTTAGTTCCAACTGTACCCGTTCCACTTAGAAAAACACCAAAAAGTCTTAATAGTGTTTGCTGGAAAGAAGAGGATGAATTAGCAATACTTAATTCTGACGAAAAGATAGAAAGTATAAATGTTTTATGTGAAAAATTAAAAGCTAATGAATTTAATTTTGCTATTATCAATTATTGATGCAATGATGTACTATATATTCAGTCTTCAGATTTTTCAATGGAAAGTGCAATTCCTAGATTTCTTCTTCGCATAAATAAAGATTTCACTTTTGCAGCATTCCATTGTGGAGTTAAATGTAGTGTTATGACTTTGTCATCCAACAGAGTTTATATCTTGAACAAATGTTCTTATATTCAAGAAACATTAAGATTTTTAAATTGTTGTGAAATAACACACAAAAAAGAAGTTTTACATCAACAAATTTTGTCAATGAATAAAACATGCATTGGGGAAAAAAAGTATTCAATTGAAACAATTGTGCGAGCATTTGAGTATTTTTGCCTTTCACAATCAGCTTACAATCGCATCAGAGAAGATTTTGAACTTCCAAGTTTACGTACTTTAGGAAGAATTACATATAAATGTAAGTCTTTAGATAATACCACTTACAAACATATTTTTTCTAATCTTAGAGATGAAAGACAAAAAACATGCATTTTACTTCTTAATGAGGTTTATGTTAAACCCATGTTACAATACCATGATGGCATAGTACTTGGCAAATCACTTAACAAACCTCATCTACTAGCAAACACGGTACTGAGTTTTTTGGTTGTAACATTGTTTAATGACCAAAATTTAAGCAAACTTACTGCAATTGGTGATTTTGCATTACTTTTGCATTACAAATGAAAAAAATGGAAAAAGGAAAATGAATCAAGTTACTAACTAAAGATACTGCTAATTGTTTAGCTCAGACCTGTTATGGGTTAGTTCAGCTGTCAAAATATCTTTTAGACACAACTCATCAGTATGTGTCATTAGGCAATTTTACAACAGATCCAATAGAAAAGCTCTTTGGAAAACTACGACAAGGCTCAGGAGGAACTTATTTTATTTCTGTTTAACAAGTTTTTGAGAAAGTAACTATATATCGTACAAAGTTGCAGTTAAAGTCTGAGAATAGTTCAGATGTATTAATCAATCTTTGTTCAGATCACTCTTGTCCAAAATGTAGATTTTTATCAAGCGAGGATATTTGCAACATTATTGAGAAATTCTCTGCTCTTAGCGATTCATAGCTCTTCTTTGCCTGCTCTTAGCAATTCATTGGTTGTCGATATTAAAATGCCATTAGTATATACTGCTGGGTACATTATAAAGATGAAAATCCAGATGACACCTTTTATTTCTATGAAGCATATGGCAATTTTGTAAACAATATAAATCGAGGAGGTTTAACTATTCCTGGTGACAAAGTCTGCTAATGGGCAACTTACTGTTACATTATTTTTTATGAAGTATGCAATAACACTTGTCGTTCATCACTATGTAACCTCCTTATGACGGTATCAGAATACTACTCATTAGGTATAGAAAGACATCATGGATTAACAAGTACAAACATTTTGTTAAATAATTATTGTAGAATCTATTAACCTCGTTCACTTAAGGAGCCAAAACAGAAGCTGATAAAACTCAGCCCAAATTAAATTTTTGCAATGTTTTAAACAAAAACTTGTGTTTTGTAAAATATCTTTATAAACTTGTATTTACTTTTAATTCTACAAAAATTTTATTTTTGTATGGATATCTCTTTTATCTCAAAAATTTCTTATATAAAAGCCACTAAAAACTTTTGTGGTTAAAGCTGGAAAAAATTTTAGCAAAATATAAATTTTACTTTACTTACTAAATCGTTGCAACACAATTTAGTTTTAGACTTAATTAAACTTAATTTAACTTAATTATAAATAAAATTAAAAAAAATATACTAACAAATTATTTTTTTACTTTTTATAAGTAACTTTTAATAGATATATCATACAAAAACAATATTCAAGAAAATCACTTTAAACACACAACTAAAAATGTAAATTGCTACGAAACAATATTTTCAAACTTGCCTCCAATTTTTAACGCAAGCTCCGCGTTGGCAAGGCCTGTTATTTAGTAAGCCATGAAACAAACTTTTGTTGGAGTAAAACAAAGTAGTGTTGTTTAAAAAAAAATAATCTAGTTAAAATTTAATCTTCAATGATAAGTTTTGTTAATAACAAATCATTTTATTCCACAAACTAACTTTAGTTGTCAGGGTGATATTTTTTTACTTTATGTTATTTTTTTAAACAAATTTAAAGTGCTCATATAACCAAGTAAGAGCACTCATGCTACTTTTTTAAAACCTCTTTGTTTTTAAGAAAAAATTTTGTGTGCCTAAATATCTATGTGGATCATGAGTAGTAATCACTAAAAATTGTTTATTTGCAAAAATTTTGAATCCAACATAATTATTTTTGAAAATATTCCAATTTTTGCTCAAGGTGCTCATAATAACCTAATTTACCCTAATTTGTTTTGAAAAGTTAACTTGAAAACTATTTTTTAGGAATTATTTAGATATTAACACAACTTTCACACTTGGAGATCTCCTTAAATACTTGAATTTATTCAAGATTAAAAACAACAATAGCAAATAACCTGCTGGAATTTTCTTGAGTCTGCACATACTCAGTCCACTTTAACTTGTGTGCACATAAATGGTATTTAAAGTTGTTATTAAATGGAGGTTAAAGTTTGTTGCAACAACTACAACAATAACCCCCATATAACTTCAAATCATTATTATAGTAGAAAAAAGCTGCTGCAGAGAGAAACAATTTTTTTAAGTGATTGATCAATTTTTGTAAATGAAAAGAAGAATATCATCAACAATGAAATCCACCAATAAAAATAGGTATTACAAAAATAAAAACCAATAAAAATAGGTATTACAAAAATAAAAACAAAAAAACTTTTGTGAAAGTAAGGAACAATAACTACAGTCAAATTACAAAGGAATACATATGCAAATATAAATAAAAAAATGATTAAAAAAATAAATTTAAGTTTTTGTAATTTTTTTTTGAACTATTTTATTTAATATTACTTTATTTCAGTTGTTAGATCATAAAAAAATACAAAAAAATATCATTTATATTTTTTGAATATCAAAAAATAAAAACTCAATTAATAACAACTGTCAAAAAAAGGATTTCTCAGGAATTTTAAATAATGAAAAACAAAATTGAAAGATATAATTATTTTATATTATCTTCTCTTAAAGCAAAACATGACCTAAAAAACTATGATAAATAACTAAACAAAACAACACACTTACAACCACTAACAAACATAAACACTGCTATATGATTGATGTACTTTTATTAGTATACTTCTTGTTTTATTACTCAAAACAATTGCAACAGTCAACAATTCTAATACTTTTTAAGAAAAATCTACCTTCTCATTAAGTCTGTAATTTCTTTTATGGATCCCAACAAATCTCCTAAAGAGCCAAGATGAGCTGTAAAAAAAAAAAAATAAATAAATAAAAGATTTGAGATTTTATGACAAGTATGCAGTAGTTTTTAATAAATTAGCCTTACCATATTTAGAAAATGTATTGAGATTCATGTTTTCTCTCGATAGTACAGACTTAATAAACTCATATGGCAACACTATTTTGTCAAAATCCTAATTAAAAAAAAATATATATATATATTTTGGCAATATTTATATATGGGCAATTCCGCAAAAAAGAAAAAAAAAAAAAAAGTTAGGAAAACATTTGCTAACCTCAATAAATTCTTTTTTTAACTATTTAAGAATACTTTTAAGCAAAAAAATTATTTAAAAAATCATTTTATCATACCATAGCATTGTTTTAAAGTTGTATGGATTATATACAAATTTTTTGACGTTTTTATACAGTTCTGTTGTGAAGCGTTGAAAAAAGTTTCTGTGCTGCATTTTTATGTAACTAAAGGTTGGGTTAAGTATTTTTTTATATCTTGAATTAAAAAAGATTGGAATGAGCTACAAAGTTGATTTTTTTTTTTATTGAACACTTATTAAGTCTAGAACAAAAATAAATAAAGAAAAGAATTAAATTTCTTTAGTAAAATAAAATTTTCTAATTTTTCTCTTGATGGGAGTCATAAGATTTTGCACTAGGTGAGATCCATACTCTGTGGTGGTTTTATCGCACTTCTTCTTAAATTCAGTACTTGATTTTGCTTGCCTAAACTTCTTACATAATTTGGCTTTATTAATCTCCCAATATTGCTCAATCAGACAAAGTTCAGGACCATTTGCAGGATTGTGTGTTCTAGGTATAAAATCAATACTATTGGCATTGAAGTTTAACGTGGATTTGGAGTAATGACAAGACGCTAGGTTAGGCCAAAAGATTGCATTACCATCGTGGGCGTTCCACAGCAGCAATAAGAGCTTTTTAAGGCATTCTTTTTGATAGATTTCACTATTTATTGTGGAATTAGTGACGAAACTTAATGTTTTTAATCCACAATGACATATGGTTTGCCAAACCATAATTTTTTGGTGGAATTTTTTTAGTTTTATTGTTTTAAATTTAGCCTTTACCTTTTTCCTGGAGACTCCCATTTAAAAATGATGTTCTGAAATCGTTTTGAAATTTAATTTCACATAAGTTTCATCATCCATAATTATACTTTTTTTTTCTACACATATAATTTTCCTGCACAACTTTTTGCCACTAAATTTTCTTCAGCATTGTGATCTGGGGCTTTATAAATCTTGAAAAACTTGATTTTATGCTTTTTCTTCATAATCTAAACCATTTGTCTGCTAGTTTTGCATTTTAGTGCCAAATCTCATTCAAAGATATTAAGATTTGCCCTTATTTTCGCCAAAACATTCATCTTCAGTTTTTTGTTAATGTTCAAGTTGTTGCCGCTTCCAGGCTTTCTATTTATTGTATTAAGTGTCAAATACTTATTTAAAACATTCAACAGAAACATTATGTAGAATATTATTTATAAAACATTATGTAGAATATTATTTATAAAAATGCACTCCAACTATATATAAAAAAAGAATATATTTATCAAATTAATGTGTTATGTCTGTCCGGTAAAAAGTCGAGAAGTTTTTTCTAGGCTTCGTATCAGACTTTACAAAGCTAAAAATATAGTAAAAGTAAAGATACTGATATAAGTTTTATTGTTTTATTTTTTTTTTAAAAAAAAGCTTTAGATGATAGTATTAAGATGTAACAAAGTACATTACGACCATCATGCTATGTTTGTTTTTCCATAACAGCTTCTTGACATTTAAATAAAAAGTTTAAGAGCGAACAATTTTATTATCGAAACCAAGTTAAAAATCATTTGCAGTTTGTTTACTCATAATATTGCTAAGATGGTTAAAGTAATTTAAAATAATTAGAAATTATTATTTTTTTAAAATATAAACCACTTATTAAAAATAATTGATGCAAAGAAATTAATGTTTGTTGAGAAATAAAAACTTTTAACATAAAGAAAATTTTTTATAGTTAAAACGTTTTTTATATTTTGCATTGGAACATTTTTGTTTATTCAATTTAACAGTTTTTTAAATTATAAATTTCGCGGGGTTTTTTTAAAATCATAACAGAACGTTAATCTCAAAAGAAAGCTGTTATATTTAATAACATTTTTTAAATGCCTAAATCAGATGCTGAATGGATTTCTATTTTAAAAATTTATTTTATATGTTCTACATATAAAATAAATTTTTAAAATAGAAATCCATTTTTTTCTATTGTTGCGTTACTGCTATCCAATATATATATATTATTAAACAAGTCGTGTAAGTATATATTTAAACTTTAGTAATGTAATAAAGTATAAATAAATATAGCAGCTTGCCTTTAGTTGCCTATTTTAAATTTAACGAACCCAGTATCAAAAAACCATAATTGAGAACTTTGATAATGCTATAAAGTTTATACTTTTATATACTTAACATGGTTTTTATGATAATTCATCTTTGTTTTTATTGCACTGTTTTATTTATTGTTTTTTAAAATTAGAATTTACAACCATCACGGTTACCACTGCACAATAAAAAAAACATAGAAATGCTTATAAAGCATCAAGTAAAAACTATGAAACTCAGCATATAATAACATTAATGTGCTAAATACACACATCAAATGATTTTTTTTTAACCATGCCGTTTGCTGCAATTAGTTTGACAAAGTTGTTTTGTTCACAAGAGGTAAAAAGTAAGCGTTATGACTGTCACGCTACACAGAGATAATTTTTGAAAAAAGTATAAGACTTCAATACTGTAACTTTTGCATACTAAATTATGTAATAGTATTCCATATTTCTGGGAAGTTTCAAGTCATTTCCATTTTTGGTTCATTTTTAATAGCTTGAATAGCATCAAGTGTTACGACCGCCACTCTCGAAGGATTGCCCATATATATATATATATATATATATATATATATATATATATATATATATATATATATATATATATATATATATATATATATATATATATAATAATAATAATAATTATTATTATTTATTTCCTAACACAAACCATTAACACAAGTAACCATCGCTTAAATCAGAGATTTAAGCGATGTTTAAAGTTTAAAGTTGATGAAACTATTCAAACCATTCACAAAAATTGTTGCAGAAGATCACAAACATCAATAAGCCCTAAACAGGAAAAAAGAGTACTGAAAACTTCTCAGCAAAGTTCTAGAAGGTCTGTATGTTGTGAAGTTTGAATTTCAAAATTGTCTATCAATCCTAGATTGAATTTAGAATTGCAAATTAGAATGCAATGTTATCATTTAAAAAGTTATATTCCAAGATTAATTGATGATTGATGATGATCCGGACTAAAGAATACAGTATTGCAAGTAATATTTAGAAGTATTTGTGAATTTCAACAAAAATTGTATGAGGTGACAAACCCACATTCAAACTAAATCGTTACAGAATTAACCACCACAACTCTGCCTGTTGTTTAAAAATCTACTCAAAATTAATTAGTTTTTTTTTAAACTACTGTAAAAAGTCTCATTTATTTTTGTAACTTAGACTTGATAGATTCAATATGCATATATCTATTGATAAATGGGTGTAACCATAAACAATTTAAATTTGTAAAATGGTTACACACAAAGAATTAATGCCTGAGAAAAGGCTGACTTGTTCATAAAGATTGTGTTTCGGAATTGAAGAGTTGTGAGAGGATTTTAACCAAAAACTAAAAAAAAAAATCTTTTTCTACATATAAAATAAATTTTTAAAATAGAAATCCATTTTTTTCTATTGTTGCGTTACTGCTATCCAATATATATATTATTAAACAAGTCGTGTAAGTATATATTAAACAAGTCATGTAAGTTATAACTGAAGGTTTAATGTATTTTATAAATGAAAGTTTAATACTTTTTAAACCAACATAAAAGGATGTTATATACTTATATACTATATTTATAAGTAATTATAATAATTTTGTCAAAGATTGCCCACTCTATTTTTTCTAGATATTGGAGTCTTTATATTAACATGCCCATTTTACAGAACTGATTTTTTATCTTTCAAGTTTTCTTTTTTTTAATTAGAGCAAAAACTTAATTCTTTATGATTTTTAATATATATATATATATATATATATTTTTTCTTTTTTCTATGAATTTTTTTTTTTATCTATTTCTTAGTTATATATTAAACTAATTTTTAAAACAGTTATTGACAATTGTTTTTCAAAGTTTTATTTGTTATTAACTTAAATTGCTTTCAGTAAATAGTTGATTTTAATTAATTTTAAGAAAATCAAACACAGCTAAAAAAAAAAAATTTGTTTATTGATTATCTTCATATTATGTTATTTAAGTTTTCAAATATAAATACTGACTATAAAAACACAGATAATGATATAAATTAGATAGTTAATTTAGAAGATCACACATCAAAATATTTTTTATCTATACAAAGTTTTAAATAGTCACTGATTAGCAAGTAAAATTTTAATTATTTAAACTATTATATATTTTTTATTATAAAGATTTTTACTTTGTTTAATTATTTAAATTTAACAATTTAAACTTAAGTTTTAAATTAAAAATAAAATTGTTGTTACGATTTATATTTATACTATAAATAATGTAAATATAAATTGTAATTTAGATTTATATTAATTATAAATCTGAAGTAAATGCCTCTGTTAACAAAATGTTTATGTATTAATTGGTGACACTTTTGTCAGAATTTAAAGAAAATTTTTTATGGATTAGGTAAAGTTAAAAAACTTTAGTTCTAACAAAATGTTTATTTAGCCTTATCAGTTTAAACTAAAAAACAACACACGCAAAGAAGAAACTTTTAAATTAAAAAAACTTACTGTACAGTTGTGTTTCTATGTTTTAATGGATTATAAAAGTAATGTTTATATTTTTTTCTATAAATGAAACCTGCATACCTTGTTGTAATTTTTCTTTTCTCATTTTGTCTTGTTAGCAAGATCATTATTTATATTTATATTACTTATAAATCTGAAGTAAAACTGCAACATAATAACCTGGCACAAGCTGCAACAAAATATTCTTGGCAATATAATTACTATTGTATATAATTCTTATCTTGTTGTCAAAAAGTATGTTTTAATTTTCAAGTTAAATTGCATTCTTATTAAGAATATAATGTAATAAATCTGCAACACTATATAGCTTAAGATATAATATAACCAACTAAAGGACATAGATACATTAAAACAGCTGTGAAAACTCTCTTTAAAATAAACCAAATGATAAAAGGAAATATTAAGGAATGATCATCATAACATTAATGCAAACATTATAAAAAAGATAAGTTAATTGAAATAAGTTTTTACTGGCGATATGTTGCACTGACGCTTTAATGCAGAATGTTTTGAGTCCTTTAATGAATCAAATTTAACAAAAAAAAAAAAAAAAAAATTTAAATTTTTTTTATTAAAAACAGCAAATAAAATGCAAAATATTTTGAGTCCTTTAATGACTTCATTTAACAAAAAACTAATTTAAATTGAAAAAAAGTAAGCTAAAAAGAGTAAACTAAATTAAAAAAAAAAGTTAAAAACAGTAAACTAAATTAAACAAAAGTCTATACAGAAGTAAAACAACACAATGTTTTGCAAAAAAAACTTATACAGTAACTTCTTTTAAGAATGTTTCGCAACAAAAAAACATATTAACTATTGTCGATTGATAACACAGACTTACCTTTGCTAAATCAAGAAACTTGTTATTTTTATCACTTCCAACTTCCTCTACTGTATCTTCTATATTTTGATAGCTAAATGTAAATTATGTTTTAAATTTATAATGTAAAATAAGAACCAATAAACTTAATAACAAGAAAAAACCATTACCAAGAATGTTCAGCATCAATAGATTTTTCACCCATATCAGCAAACACCTTAACAATACCTAAAAAATTTAGACTTTTTGTAAATTTATAAATAAATTAAACAAGATCTAAATATCCTCGTAACTCATAACACACTTTATTAAAAAAAAGTATTAAAGATGAAAAAAAGTATTAAAGATGAAACCACTTACACAATTTTTAAAAGAAAAATCAAATGTTTTAACTTATAAAACTATTTCAATTGTCAATTATTTGTTATATAGGTCATATATACATCTTTACTAGCAGAATTCATATTCTGAAGGATCTTCACTTGATTCATCATCCAGATGACATCAAAAATGAAAGCTAACATTTTATAACTGACCTATTTATCATCCAAATGACATCAAAAATGAAAGCTAACATTTTATAACTGACCTATTTATCATCCAAATGACATCAAAAATGAAAGCTAACACTTTATAACAGACCTATCATTCAGATGACATAAAAATGAAAGCTAACACTTTATAACAGACCTATTTATCATCCAGATGACATCAAAAATTTAAAGCAAACACTTTGGGTTACCATTTTATTTGTAAAGCATCAAAGTTTTTACTAAGTTGTTTAATCAAATATTCTAATTAAATTTGTAATAAACATGGCTCCTAATAAACTAAATCATCACCACCAAAGCTACAACCAACCACTATTTAAGCCATCAGGAGTTACTACAAAACAAAGAATATTGTTAGAGAGCAAGAAAACAGTTGACTTAAAACTGTAATTTGTGTGAGTCTGGAAAATATGAAGGTGGCAGAGAGTTCCAAAGCATTGATGTGTGTGGAAAAAAACTAGATAAATAAAAGTTTTTAGAGCATAAAAAGATATATACCTTAAAAGGATGCAACTTTGCTGAAGTCAAGCGCAAATGAGTTTTGGTTAATGGAACTACAGATGATAACTTTTTTGAGCAGCAACCATGATAGTATTTGAAAAAAAAGAAAAAGACATGCAACTTTATGATGATGGGACAGGGGCTCAAGCTTCGCCAATAAAGCAGGTAAAACTACATTTACAATACATTTTTAGACATTGTGTAGACAAAAAAGGGCATCTTTAACCATTTTTAACCCAATGTTGCCATTTGGCAACACAAACTTTAAATCCAAAAATCAAACCCTATTTTATCTTTTTAAGTAATGCTTAAATTTTGCTACTTCCTACTAGTTGGCAACATATGCAATTTAAAAATTTATGTACTGATTCGCAATTGCTTTTTGAAAATATTGAATGTAATTGTAATTTTTATTTATTTTTTAATTTTATTAATCAGGTTAAAAGAACCAACTTGAATATGAGAGTATTTCATATCAATAAGAGATTTGCATAGGTATAGAATGGAATCAGGAGTAAGTAAATGATGAGCACAATAAAAAGAGGCAACCTTAGCAGATGCCAATTTTGCAATTAACTGTGTATATGGTTTCGATAAGAAGTTAAAAGTGAATGATATTTCGAGAAGACGTAAAGTAGAGGACTTGTTAAGAGTGTTGCCATTTAACTTAAAATAAGTTTAAAAATGACAAAAGAAGAACACGTTAGAAAAAATATTTTGCACAAATATTTGGAAAATCTGAATAGAAGCTACAATTCAAAAGCAGAAAAGTTGCAAATAAATCCCTACACTGTTAGTCATGTTATTTAACATTTTTCCCAAACAAAATTGATTAAATGCAAATCTGGTAATGGTGGAAAGGAGGTTTTTTAAGATACAAAACTGGTTAGAAAACTAGTTAACAGTTTTATGAATAATCCAAGCCACTCACTAAGGGAATGCACAAAAAGATAAGAATTTTCTCATAGTTTCATCATAAAAGTTTGAAATAAACATGTTTTTCAAGCTTTCAAATCACTAAAGTACCAAACCGTTCTGAAATTCAAAATAAAAGTGCAATAACCCGCTGAAGAAAGTTTTATGACAAGTATATTTCTCAAAATTTTTAAATTATTGAAGACGATATAACTTATATGAAGTATGATCATCAGTAAATTCCTGGTGCTGTCTATTATAATGCACAAATATAGAGGAAAATCAGATATGAAACTTAAATACACAAAACAAGATAAGTTTTCTAAAAATGCTTTGATTTGGCAAGCTATTTGCAAAAAATCAAAAATCAGCACTCTACATTTCTGATTCCACACTTTCTGGTAAAATACATGTTAAAGAGTGTTTACATAAAGGTCTTTTTTACATAAAGGTTTTTCATCATGTCATTATAGCAAACTGGCTATGGGATGGTATAAACAAAATGACGCGAAAGTTATGTATAAAAAAGCAAATCCTCTAAACTGCCCAGAATTGAAAATTATTGCAAAATAATGGGTAAGTATTAATTGAAAAATGAAAAATGAGAAAAAAAACTATGCAGAAACATTAAAGATTTGAAAATGTCATTTAAGAAGTATCAAATGGTTTTGATGTTTGTTCTGTGCGCAAGCTTATGGGTACCACCAAAACAAAAGTTAGATGTCCACAAGAATAAATTAATTTCTTTGAAATATTTTATCTTCTTTTATTATTGTATTAAAATTAATACTTATTTCTAAATAAAAGGTGATGAGTACCTTTATTTAGTTGTTTTTCTACTTTCCCACTTATTTTGTATACACACTTTATCAGCAATATGGAGATAATTGTTTGCTAAAAATAATTAAGTTTAGTTGGAGTTAAAATTCACAAGCTGCTGTGAGCCTCAAGCTGTTACAGAAGAGAGATAAGATTCAAAATTGGATGTCTGTTCTGAGTGATTGTAAAAAGGGATAACTTTTTGTTAAGAATGGAGTATATAATTATGTTGTCGTAAAATTAAGCGAGTTGTAATGTAAGATTATCAGGAAGATAAAAAAAGAATATAGATAAGAAATAATACAAGACCAAGAATAGAAACTTGTGGTGCCCCAAAAGTTACTAGAAATGAAGCAGAATGATGATCCTCAAGGAAAACTTTTATACTGCAGTTAAAAAAGAATGAGTCAATAATCTCAAAATCTTTATTCAATAAATTCAAAATTTTTATGTAAAATGGTCTCTGTGCAAAAATGGACATCCAATGGATATTAAGCAAATAAGATCTTTGATAATATACTCTAATAATATACATCTAATAATATACATCTTTTTCAGAATTTTGTGCACCTTTCTAAAAATATTCTCAATAATTAGACAACTGAAGACATAGGAACTTGAGTTTTTGGTTGATAAGAAAAAAAGTTGCAAATGAATAAAATGTCTAAACTAACTGATGTTGTTATATTTACCAGACCAATTGAAAGACAAAAAGTTCTAATTTGCCTCAAAGCATTTTGCGAAGAAACAGTCTCTACCTTAAAATGACATCCAGAGTTAAAAAGATATTTATGATACTATTTCTTTTATTTCAATAATAACTTGCAGATATAGTTATGTGATCCAAATCGAGCTGCTATTTTTTCTTATAATTTTAATCTTCGAAAGCTATTTGGAAACTTGGCTAAACATATATATACTTCACAAAGAGTTTGTTTTAAAAATTTAAAAAAGAAACCACTAAAAGTCATACTTGTAATAACGCTTATATCAGAACCAAAACTTAATATGAACTGAAACCAGTTGTTTGTCTGACGGGATAAACTAGTTATAAATGCTGATCCTCATCGAAACACCAGTAATAATAGACGCAACTCTGAGGAGATGTTTGCTACTTAATCACTACACAAATTATGTTTACACATAAACATTAATTTTTTTTGTTTCCATTCTGAGGCCTTCCATTGTTGTTAATTTTGTAATCAATTTTTTCGTCTGGTGATATATTTGTTGTATATCTTTGTTCATATTAGTGTTTATAAAACAAATTTTTATTTTTATTTTTATTATTATTATTATTGTTAAGTACTGTTTTAGGTGCATTGTCCGCCTTATTTATTTTCAAATATTCCTCTATTAATCTTTATTTTGGTCTTGAAAACTGTCAAAATATGTTTTGTTCAAAAAATAATTCTCCTATATTCTAATGTAATTAATTTCTTCCCTCAGGCGTTTACTACTCGTGTGTGACCATTTTTTTTTTTTTTTCAAACGCAATTATGCAGTACAGAGAGATTTTGGTGCAAAATACTTTGTAAAATCATTATGACAAAATAATTAGTTAAAATAAATAGTTGCAAAGTTGTTTTTAAAAGAAAAGCATTATTGCTAAAACTAAAACGAAAGTCAACCAATAATTGTATAATTAGTTGCAATGCTTTTTTAAAGGCACAGATGTTGCAAAAAATAAAAAAAAAAATAAAAAATTTAAATAGAGTGCTAATTAAAATGCTAATGTTTTTAATTAAATTGGACTAACTGACTGGTTTCTTAAATAAAAAATATATATCTTATAAAAATAGAGTTATGAAAAAACAAAACTGATAATATTGTCATTAATCTTTTTCTTAGTCAATACTATGTCTTCCTATTAAAGCTATTACTTAAACTTGCTTTATAATATTAAATATCTTTAAAAATACATTTGAAAAAGTAAAATATTCTTTTTGAATGTTATCACTGTTATATTTTTATTTTGCACAAACTCACACACACAGATATATATATATATATATATATATATATATATATATATATATATATAAGCACAACCCATGCATCGAGTTAAGAAGATCCAGCATTCAGCATCCTAAACTGGAAACAATGTATTAAAAATATATATATATATATATATAATGTAATGTTACTTCTTCTTTCTCTTTTCTACAAATACTATAATGGGGACTGCTTAAAGGAGTTAGCATCTCTCAAATATCTACTAAAATTTATTCTCGAGTTACTCGTCATTCAATTAAGTCTCATCCTGTTTCTGTTACTGATCCTAAGTGCTCCAAAAACTCTTATTCGTCTAGTTATTTCCCTCGAACATCAGTTCTTTGGAATTTGCTTCCTTCATCTTGCTTTCCTGATTCATATAATTTGCAATCTTTCAAGTCGTCTGTCAATCGTTGACAGACAACTTAAAAGATGAAGATTGCTCTACAATCTTCATCTTTTCTCTTCCAGTAATTTCCAACACTAATTAGTGGTTGCTTGCAGTCTTGTTGGAAGCGAAGATGTTTAAAATATATACATATATATATATATATATATATATATATATATATATATATATATATATATATATATATATATATATATATATATATATATATATATATATATATATATATATATATATATACAACAAAAATACTAAATTATTGCAGGATAACTTATATATTATGTATAAATTTTATGTTTTATATATTAATTATAATGAATTATATAAATATTTCGATTTGAGCAAAATAAAAAATGAACAGTTTAATTTTCCGCTAAAAAAAATGTAATTATGCAAACACTTTTATGGTAAAACTTATATTTTTGTAATAGTTCTTAAACTTCCCGCTTTCTATTACAGTAAGGAAATATGAAACATTTTTTATAAGCAGTAAAAACTTTCAAAACTGTCAAACTTATTATCAAATAAGTAAAGCTGTTAATGAATAAATGGATAGCTCGAGTGAAGACCCAAAGAAAACACTTATCTAAGGAATTTTTTCATAGTGTGATAAATGATGTCCATTATGTATTCTTGCAACTTTAAAGCTACAAGCATATGCTTTTAACAAGTATAAAATCAAATTTTGTAATAATAATCAATTTATTTTAATGAATAAAAAGATTGCTCGCGCAAAAACTGGAAGTTCCCTTGAAATATATATATATATATATATATATATATATATATATATATATATATATATATATATATATATATATATATATATATATATACACATGGCTTTAGTATAAAGTTGCTTTGGGGAATTATTAAAGCAGCCGTGGCACAGTGGTTAGAGTTCTGGCTCAGAACTAAGAGGTTCAAAACTCAATACTTGATCAAAATTCAAGTTCACATCTCTTTCTTTACATTTGTAAGGATAGAAATGTAAACTTCCTTGTTTTGCTTTTCTCAGGTATTCTGAAATGAGACAATTACATCTTCATAATAATAACAAAAAATTATTATGACTATTATTACATATTATATATATATATATATATATATATATATATATATATATATATATATATATATATATATATATATATATATATATATATATATATATACTATTATTATTATTACTGTAGATAACTAATATAATATAAAACCAATATAATATTATTACTGTAGTTAACTAATATAATTTCATTAAAGTGTAAATACAATAAAACAAAAAATGTTTTAATAGTATCAAACACAAAAATTTAACTTATTTTTGTATATTTATACCACTTTAAATTTCAATTACGAATAAATAATAAAAAAAAAATACCAATCAAATCTCGTTTATAATTTAGAGCTTTAAGAATAAAGTTGTATATTTGAAAATTGGATCTTTTTAATGATTCATCAGGTACTGCAAGAGACAATGCCCAATCTATATATTAAAAAAAATTCACATACATTATATTGAAACTTTCAGATAATGAAAGATAATCTAAGGTTTTCTAAAATCAGTTTTTTGAATCTACTAGGGCTCATCAAAGAAATTTCAAACCCATGATCAGAATGCCATGAATATATCAGGCAATAAATTAAAACAAATTTTTTAAGAATGTTTACTTTTACCCAATAATTGTGTTCTATATAATAAAACAACTTTGTCAGGTTGAAAGTAAGCATAATGGAGGCAATAGAAAAAGGTATATTTTTAAGATAATCTAACATATTTAACATTCTGAGGCTGCCATATTGACACACAATATACAACACAAATCTCTACATAATAGTTTTTCTAGAAATATTTTTATAAAACATGACTCTTATTTTTTATTATTTTATATACTTATTTTGAAATCCATGTTGATATACTTTTGAAAAAAAAAAAATTTATGAATAATATTAGGGGTAATTTGATTTTGAAGAAATGTAAAGAAGAATTTTTTTACTTAAAAAATAATCTTTTTCTTGTTATTTGAAAATTAATTCATAATATAAAAACAAGTGTTTTGGATGATGCATTTAACTTTTAACAATTGTAAATATATATGCTGAGTTAAGTTACATTTACACGTATTAGAGTTTTCCGTTGAGGAAAATGGAAATCTTGTAATGAGACCTGATATATACATACATTTTAGGGTGGAGTGAAAGTAACTTTTCTAGAAATCTAATTATTCTCCCTAATTTTCTATATAAATTATAAAAAAAAAAACTAAATGAGACCAAGATGAGCAAAACTGGACAAATATAATAAACTGTAAAATATAATAAATAGTAAATAGTTTCAAGTTATGCATAACTTAAAACTATTTACTATTATTAGATTGATTTTGTTTTAATTTAGCCTATAATAACATTTTCTGGAAAAAAGTTGTTTTTTAAATATTTAAAGTATAAAACCAAACCATATACTTTTTATAATATTTTCTATATAACAAAATGGTTAAAACTATGTATATTTTGGTGTACAGCCTAATGACTTGCCAACTTGTTAATAAAATATTAATATATTGCTAATTATATTTCAGTAAATAGAATGTCAAGACCATCCTTTCTTTGGGTATTCAAAGCCACTTTCTGAGGTGCAACTGCCAACAGGACTAAATATCATGCGACAGCATTATTTGTTATTAAAAAAAAATCAAGCTATACTACATATAATTTCTCAAATAATTTTAAAATTAAATATATATAATTTAATTTTACAGAAAAATCCAGGAAAAACCAACAAAAAGAATAAAGCAGCTTCAACAACAATGCAGGTTTTTAAAAATTTGGATAAAATGCTACATACCAACTGTGTCATCATTTATATCCGTGACGAAGAGAGTTGTTAAAATATTTGAGCAGAGCAAAAATTTGAAAAAAACTTTAACTGCTGACATGGAAAATAACAGCTTTACACTCTAAGGACAAACTACCCAAACTGCTTAATATATCAGCTTGTTAATACAAAGATCTAAAGAAATGATGCTCTGTCATAGCATTGTTGTGGGTATCAGAGAGTTAGGTATGCCAAAGCGCATCTATATATGCAACATATTTGTGATTTAATTTTCCGATATGTGCAATATCCGAAAATTAAATTCTCTAGCTCTCTGTATGCATTTAACACCTAACTCTCTGATAATTTATGCAAATATGAGAGAGTTAGGCGTTAAATGCATACAGAGAGCTAGAGAAAAAAACAGTATGAAAGTTAATCAAACAACTCAGCTTAAGTTAAAAGAAATATATTAAATATATACTCAAAACATTTTATGGGTTAATTAGATGTCTTTTTATGATCGGGTTAAAGAGTAAAATTGTTTAAAAATTGTTCTTTTAAATAGAGCATCAAGGTTAAGACAATCTAAATGAAAATTATTGTTAAAATTTTTTTTATCAGAATTTTATCAGAAAAAATCTAAAATAAAGGTTTAAATACTTATTTTTATCCAAAATTCATCATGTATTGAACTAAATGAAAAACTATTACAAAATTTGTAAACTAATTTTTAATTTATAAATAACTTTTTTCAATTATCCATCTATCCGCTATATTTTTAATAAAGGATAAACTCTGGTCTCTGAATGTATAGACCCTAGCATGATGAACAACTTTAGTATTATTAATTTATTATTAGGCAAACTACATGGTTACACACAACTTTAGTTTCACTTATTTATTTTTTTTAGTAACACAGATCTAAATCTTTTAGGTAAAATCAACATCACAGTTTAATAATGTGATTTGTTATGATTGTTTATTAGCAGTTTTTCTCAATTATAAGCTCTTTATTAGTCAGAATTCTTTAATTTTTGATGAAAATCGATAGAAACATTGTATTTTGACAACTATATTTAATTAATATGTAATAAGAAATTATAAAACTATTTTACTAAAATATTTTTTTTTTTACTAAAATACTGCTATCAAAACTAAAGACGAGAAATGGTGTTCTTTACTTATCTAAAGAAATGGTGTTCTTTAGGTTTACTATTAAAGTAAAAACTAGAAATGGCATTCTTTAGGTTCACTATTAAAGTAAAAACTAGAAATGGCATTCTTTAGGTTCACTATTAAAGTAAAAACTAGAAATGGTGTTCTTTAGGTTTACTATTAAAGTAAAATTGTTAGTAAAAGGTAGTAAAAAAGTTTTGAAAATTAAACAAAAAAGAGAAAATTTTTTTTTGAATATTATAAAAATCTAAAGCAAAATAATTAATTTAAAAAACAAACAATTAGGTACTGTTTGCAATCATAGATACCAAAGATATGATCAAAAGCTTTATTGAATCCATTTTTTTAATATTATTGCTTTTAACATTTATAAAAATAATGACATTGTTTTTGATTTATAAAAAATTAAGATATTATTTTGAATATTTACAAAAATAATGATATTGCTTCTAATATTTATATAAATAATATTGTTTCTAATTTTTATAAAAATAATATTGTTTTTAATATTTATAAAAATGTAGCCATTATTAAAAACAGTTTATTAAAATACAAACTAAATTTTTTTTAATTTTTATCTAATCAAATATATGTATAAAAAAATTATATTGCATTGCAGTCAGAATGTCTTTAACAAGCTGTCTTTAAAGTTATATATTTATGTTTTAAAGAAAAAAACATTTTACACGTTCATTAAATTGAAATTAAACTTTTTAGGTTTTGCTTAAGTTTTACTAAAGCTAAATATCATATTTTAACTTATGTTGAACCTCTGAATAAAAATGCTCTAAAAACTTGTTATTTAACATATTCTCAAAATTATGGGCAAAAAATTAAAATTCTATATAAGTAAACTTAACCTAGCTTGTCATTCTTTGCGAGATATTCAGCAAGAAAAGGAAGCCTTGAATTTAGTGTTTTGTTAAAATGTTTTTCTATTGCATTATTTAACCTCTTGAATTGTTCAAGATCCTAAATAAAACAATTCCAAATATTTAGTAAACAAATAAACAACAATAATAAATTACTTCAAAAAATCATCAAAAACAGAAAAACACAAAATATGAAAAATGTTAATCCAAATAATTAAACCTTATCAGCTTGAAGTAAGTAATTGAATGATGCCACGCTGATTTGATTTATAACAGTATAAGGCTTCATATTTTCTGTTTCTTGTTTGAAATGGTCCAACAATACAATCGCATTTTCATAGTCTTCTCTCACAGTGAAGCGTTGGATAAGACTATCCACTTCTGGCGACATTTCTTGCATACCTTCTATCTTTCCTAAAGTTGTTTTAATCAAGTCTCTATGGCCACCTTCACTAAGATTATTAAGCAAACCCATATAAAGTTCAACTGTTGGAGATATTCCCTTCTTAGTCATTTCATTCAAAGTCTGTAAAATTTAATAATTAAAGAGTTTAAAAAATACAATTAAAAATTTAGTAAAATATTTATTTTAACTACAAAAAATTCAGCACAATTCATTTTAGATGACAACAAAAATATTATAGAAGGTTTTTTTATAATCCATTACTAAAATTAATTTTTTTGTTTGTAAAGCACAATACATTTTAAAACAATAAATATAATAATTACATCTTCTATTTTTTCCAAGTCACCTCTAACAGCAAGTGCATTAATTATTTGTTTGTAAACTTTTTCTTTTGGTGGAATACCATTTTCTCTAATAAAAAAACAAGATTAAATTTGATTTATTAACTTTATTTGTAAACATCTTAAAAAAGATAGCTTTAATGTATATACATCAATAAATACAATTTCTCTCAAGGCTACACTTTTATTTTTAAAAAAACTAACAACAAAAAGTTACTAAAATAACTGATACCATTTTGAGCAAGCAAAACACATAGAAATTTGATTATTTGTAATTAATTTATGCCACATTGTTTTTCAATGTTAAAAATGATCTTTTCTTATGGTTTTAAATTGTAAAGTTAGAGATTATTAGGTGCATGATGACTAAAAACTTTATTTAGTTTGACAATTGAATTTAAAAAACAAACTAAAGACATTAAAGGGTGTTTTAATAAAAGATTAGCCATGTAACTCACGTGACCTAAGTATAAAATATTTGAGAAATTATAATGTTAAATTTCCAAAAAGGTAATAGGTATAAGAAAAAGTTGTTGCAATAAATAGATTTAAAACTATTTTATCTTTCAGAACAACAAAAATTAACTGTTGCATTTAATAATAATCTATAAATTATTAGACATCAAAATCATCTCAAAACAGTATTAAACAAAACAGTAAAAAATTTTGTTTTAATAAAACAAAAATGTTTTAATAAAACAAAATAAGATTGCTAAACAGTAAAATAATTGTTTCATACTGAGTCGAACTTTCAAGAAGATAGAAAAAGACGTAAATGCTTTATTATTGGAATCACAATTTGATTTATAGTACTTTAAATTTATGGTTATTATAAGTAATAAATTTACTATTTGTTACAATTTATATATAAGTCTTAACACTATTTAAATTTGATAACTTTAAGAAATCATTAACAATGAATAGGCGGCACTAATAAATTAAATACAATGTAAATTTTATGTTGAAACAATATAAAAAGAAAAAAAAAAATTGAAAAAAAAAGTGACTTTAACACTTTAAAACCTGGCTTGGTCGGGAAGCGGGTGCGATCGCACTCGATAACTGACCACGGAAATAATATTTAATTGTGAAAAACCGGCCAGATTTTTTAGTTGTTTTGAGAACATTTAAATTTATGTATGTTTCTTTAATTAATTTCATTATTTAAACGTAAATTTCTAACTCTATCGGTTCAAAAAATACTAACCGAAATTTCTAGAGTATTCTGTTGAAATATTTTTAAAAACTGTATTATTTGAGTTTTATGTTTTCGTTGAGATTGCTAACATAAATTGTTTTAAGAATATACTATCAAACGAACTATTATTTTAACTCTCGGAACCACATCTACAAAGCTATGTTTTAAACTAACATTATTTGTTTACAAAAATAAATGTTTTAAATTTATCTTTTTTAACTTGTCAATGTTTTGAAAATATATTATAGATTTTATTAGTATATCCTTATTTTTTATATAAGGGATGTATTTTTTATGTAATGTATTTTTATGTATGTACTTTTTGTGCATTTAATTTTATGTGTGTGTATTTTATTCAAATGTAATCTTTTAAAGCAATTTGTGCAATTGATTTTGTAAACAAAAATATTTTCAATAATAACTGCATTTTTAATGAAATTATTAATAATCATCAAAGTTAATACAAATAATTTTAACCACTAATCAATTTTCCTCAGTGTACCCGATAACTGATTCTTTCCCCCAAGAAAGAAAAGTTTTTAAGTTCTTAGAAATTGGTTTATTAACTTCAAATATTTTTGCTTCAGCTATTCTTACAAACTCGTTATACTTAAACTTAAAGTTACTTTTTTCTGTTTTGAATACTAATTAAAATTATAAAGCCCACTCATTAAACATCTTTAATGTTATTGTGAAGCAGTTCTGCTTCCTCCTCACATAGTAATTTAACATTTTTAGTTAATTTCTATTTAGCTAATTGAATTTTTACAGTAACTCAATGATTTAATTATTTCATTTGTTCATCTTACTAAGAAAATTGTCCGAAGAAAGAAAAACTACGCAAAGCATAAAACAGTTATTAAAAAAACTTTTCTATTTATAAATAATCTAGCATTAGTTTCATTGGTTGAATTTTGTTGGACTTTTCAGGGTCGAGGACTGCATTATTTTGGCAGCCTTTTTTATGTGCCACAGCGTAAAAATGACTAAAAAAAATACCAAATGGTCCTCTTGACTATTTCGCAGCCCCTAACATTGTGAGTCTCGAGCCTTTCTATTTCCCTTTCTACTTCCCCCTATCTCCTCAATCCAGCACTGGAAATAAGACATAAGTATATAAATAAAAATTATATATACTCTTTGATAAATCGAAGAACATTTGTTTCCTAATTAAACAATCATTAATAGTAAGTTGTTGCTTTATACAAAAAATGTCACTTAATTTTATAAAAAAAATGATAAAAGAGCGACGTTTCAAAAATATTTGCTCTAATCGTACTTATTTTGCTTAAAGTTTTTTCGCGTCTTTTTTTAACTGTCTCTCATTGGTCCAGTTAATCTTTTACGCTTTAATCTTATTACGCTTTTTTGTTTGTTTTTGAAATGTTCTTAAAACGACTTAAAAATCTGGCTGGCTTTTCGCAACTAAATATTATTTTCGTGGTTAATTATCAAGTGCGATCGCACCTGCTTCATAACCAAGCCTATTTAAAACTAAAAAAAAAGTGACTTTAACAAACTAAAAAAAAAAAAAGTAACTTTAAAGAATATATTTCTTCTAAATCCAATAGATTTTTCTGCATACACAAAAACAATAAAAAGGACTATTTTTTTTTTATCTTTTAACTGGGAAATTTTTTAACTAAAAACAAACAAATCTGATTGATTTTAAAACATAAAATCACTATTAAATATTATAAAGAAAACAATAGACTTAAAAATTTTATAAAAAATTAGATTATGCTGTCATTGAAACTGCAAGAACTCATGATGATAATTTTTTGTATTGTCAAGGGATTTTTTTGTATATGTCAAGGGTTTTGTATTGTCCAAAGGTTCATAAAGACATAATAATGATAATGATTTAAAAGAATTATTATGTAATATGCAATATAATTATTATGAATTATGTTGTAAACCTGGAATTTATTTAATTGAATGTAATTGCTCCAAAGTGTATATTGGTGAAACAAAATTACAAATTAGAACAAGATCTCAACAACACCAAAAATGGAAGATAATTATTATCAGTCAGCTATAGCTCTTCATAAAAAAGACTGCAGAGAAGAAATTTATTGGGATAAAGTTAAAACACTTAAAGAAGAATATAATAAATTTGATAGAAAAGTTTGTGAAGCATTAGAGATTCAAAAACATCAATGCTCTCCAATTCATGGTGGAATAAACTTAGATAACGAACAATACGTTAAAACTAAATTTTGGACTCCATTTTTTGCATTCTTACGTCAAAGAAGCCGTTCTAATGCTGGTGTCAAAGTTTAATTTTTGTAATTTATTATAACGGTCATAATTGTAATTTTTAATTATGATATTATAGCTGATGATGCTGGTAACTATAATCCAGCAAAAATTTCAAATAAATTAACAATAGTATTGAGAGAACTCGTATTAATTGATGTTTTTATATTTTTAACATATATATTCTCATACAAGATGTAAACATTTAAATTAAATAATATACTAATATTACTTAGTTTTTTTTTCTCTCTAAAAATCAGTAAAATAATAAAAACATTTACATGCTTTTGTAATTTCATCAACAATATATACTAGATAGATTTATTTATCTATTAGAACATCAAATACATGTAAAGACACTTAGGCCCATACAAAGATGGACACTAACAACATGCCCATAAATAAATAAAAATATATTACCAGAAAAACAATTACAAAACTATAAAGAAACAAATAGTTATTCCTTTTAGAATAAAAGAACCAATTGATATTTAACAAAAAAGAATGAAAACCATTAATGTCAGCATTAACAAAGTCATAGAAGGATTCAGTATTTACCTTCTCCACCTCCAATTTTTATGCGATCCTTACAATAGATTGAGTAATCTTTTAGACAAGCAATTGAGTCAGATATTTTACTTATGAAAAACGTTTCGCAAACACAATTTATGTTTTTATTACAGGAGGTGTATTTACCTTTGTAAATAAATAAAATTCTTGCAATTTATTTGCAAGGCTTTTTGGATTAAAAAGATAAACAGAGCTTTTTGAAAATGGACTTGAAGAAATTTTATCATTAGTTTTGAAAACTTTCTTATTTTAAATTGATTGTTTTATTACGACATTTTTTGTACTAATTATTTCTCTTTTTTTACTCTATTTAAATATAAGTGGGTTATTACTAATGTGACAAATTTGCAAGTTCCGAAACACATTGAATTTTATGACTTGATATTCAATGGTTAATAAAGTAATTGCTAATTTACAATTTTAACAACTCTGTCATTCCGCATACCATAATAATATAGCAAAGATTCTGAATTTTCTAAATTTTACAACTTAACTTTATATCGTTCTGCTTTAGTTAAGTCAGCTTCGTTTAAGTCAGGGTTAATAAAAACATTTTTAAACTCACTTTAACTTTTCAATAATTTTGCTGCTTTTAAAATTGAGTTGCAATCAATCTTATTATTTAAAACAATAACAAAAGGTGATTAGTTATCTGTTTTCAATTTGAGTATTATAATTTGATTAACTTCAATCTTCAGATTAATTGAATTGAAAACCTCTTGAATGGAGTTTTTATCCCCTTTTATTGCACTAGGTTTATCTAATATTTTTGATGCATTAATGCTAAATTTTATTACATTATTTTCATTGACAATAATTGCTACATTATACAAATACTTTTTTCACAAAAAGTTACAAACTGAAGTGCTTACATTAATTGAGTCTTTGAGTTATATATATATATATTATTTATATATATATATATATATATATATATATATATATATATATATATATATATATATATATATATATATATATATATATATATATATATATATATATATATATATATATATATATATATATAACTCAAACATCTTTTACCTAAAAAGTTGCAAGCATCAACTTTTTTTTTACTAAACAAAATTTTTTACTTTTTTTTATAAATAAAACAACATTATTATTTTCAAACTTTAATTTAATAAATCATTAAACTATTAATTTATTTACACTATTTAACTTTTTTTTTTTTAATTATAATTTTTATGCTTATAAATGTTAATAATCTTCAATGGTTAACAACATGAAAATTTGATGAGGTACATCTATAACAAAAATAAATGAATTTATTTCCTTTTAAATTTGATGAAAATTACCTCATTGATTTCATAACATGTTTGACACCTTCAAAATTTCTAAAAAAATTATAAACTTGATATATAATAATAGAAATAATAAATAATAATAAACTTAATATATAATTAAGAAATATATGAAGTTTTAGTATAGATAATTATTATTTTATAGTTATAATATAATATATAAATATTAAATGGTTACAACCAGGGCTGTGGAGTCGGAGTCGCAACAATTTTACCGGAGTCGGAGTCGCTAAAAAATATTGCGACTCGGACTCCGATAGTAAAATTTCTTGGTATTGCACGTGCATGTACAAAACATTCAATTAACCTTATGCTCATACTAAACATCAAAGAATGTTTCATAAATTTGTCAAAAAAAAAATTTCAACTTACCGGGCAACATTTTTAAAAAAATTCAAAGAATTTTGCAAAAATTTTGCTTTGGAGTTGGAGTCAGAGTAGTACTCAAAAAATATTAACAACTGGAGTCGGAGTCGTTACTTTTTTTTTACGACTACACACCCCTGGTTACAACTCATTATTACTTTAATTACCAATTATTTTGTAAATTTAATATTAACTATATTAACTGTTAAAGTAAATGCAGTTAAAGTAAATTGGCCAAATGAACCCACAATTGGAACTAAATTACCAAATGATATGATTATAAAATATCATAAATGTAATAAACAAAGTTAAAGTGAGTGTAGAAAACAATTTGCAATAGGAAGTTAAAAGTGAAGTTGTGCATAACAATATAATTGCTTGTGAATAATTGTGCATAGAGGAAGTGGGGGCATAACCACCCCCACAAAAATTGTTGGGGGTACACTTTTCTTGATACATTTTCTTTACAATTGTCACAGCTCAGATTATTTGCTGATTTTGTTGCACGTTTGCATACTGTGCATGTTTGCATACTGTGTAGACATTCTTTACACTTACAGTCTGAGTTTTCTCATTCAATATACTCTTAGCTTTATAGTTTATTCAAAAACTCATGAATAAAAATTAAATAAAAAAAATACAAAATCTAATTTCCAACATCTCATAACAAAACTATTTCTATTCAAGTTTTTACATGAATGCATTTAAGTACGACAGTTGTTATTATTGATTTTTTTAAAATTACCTAACTTAGATAAATATCAAAAGTATGATTAAAATAATAATAATATGATTAAAAATAATAATAATAAGGAGAAATTAAGGAGAGCAGTCAAATTTTTTATTTTTTTAAAGGTTATTTAAAGACTTTTAAGGAGTTTTTTATTTTTTAAGGTTATTTAAGGTTTTTAAGGAGAAGTGGGAAGCCTGTATTATGCACAACTTCTCAGAAACATAACAGGGACTTTTGACATAAGCAAAATGAAGTAAACTGTTTTACGTGTGGTATGTTTTTTGATAACATTTTTCAAAGAGAAATGTTAAAAAAAACGGTTGTGCCTCCATAATAAAAAAACATAAATGTAATGCGTGCTAAAATACACGCCTCCTGAGGAAGCTAGTATATTAAACTTTTATATTTTATATTTATATTACATTTATAATATTTGTTTAAACTACCTTATTGATACACTATGACAAAAACACTACTATAATAAACTTTTCTAATAAAACAAAAAAATAATAATAATTCAAGACAAAATTTTTAAAATTTTAAATTTTAAAAATAATTAACCAATAATAAAATTACAAATAAATTTTATTTGTCAATATCTCAGAGAATAAAAATATATTGGTTCATCATGTGATAATTAATATTGCATAATTGTAGTTTTTTTTATATATCTTTATATCTTTTAAGAACCTGCTTTGAAACAAAAGAATATTAATAATAGTATGGTATTGATTTTTAAACACCTGAATGTACCAGTTTATCATAAATTAGATTAACTCAAAATTGAATTAATATAGTTGCTGTAATTGTATTTCGTTAATAATTGAATTATAAAACTATTTTAGAATATCTTAAAGGTAAGCATTAATCAAACTAATCACATTATTAATAAGTTTATAATTTTAATAATAAACATTATCAGTAATAAAGTAGTCTATGGTCCAATGGAGGCAGAAAAAAACATAAATATTGTTAATTAACCCAAGGTTAGTAAGACCAATTCAGCCTGATTTCCTATATTATTGTAAAAATAAAGGTGGCGGTTATTCTTAGGGATATTGTTAAAAAAACTAAAATGGTTATAACTTTCTTGGACATCACACTAAGTCTAACTATCAAAAAAGTACCAACTTTTTAAGCTATGACCATGTAAAAACTAGATTGTCATTACAAATATTTTTGTCTGATTATCAAAAACTCAGGTATTTATTTGATGAATGGCATAAAATGAGCTATAATTGAAATTCTTAGGACTTTGTCTCTGAAATAAAAATATAGAACCTTTATAGAAGAAATTAAGGATGTTCCTAAAGCATGTTTGTACGACTGCAATGAATGTTTTAAAATCAGGAATGCCATTATGGCATTTTCAAGCAATTCTTCTAGAAAGCAAACATTTAACTTATTTCTGCATTAATTTTCATTAAACTTAGATTGGTATAGATGAAAAGTTAGTTTGACCATTAGCTTTCAAAGAACAAGAGCTTTGACTAAGAATGGTTATTAAATGATTAAATACCCAAGTAATCCTAAGCACTAAGAGCAACTGAATGATTTCAAAGTGCAACTGAATGATTGGCAAAATATAAAAAACTTTTTTGATATTTTTCAGAAGGTCAGTTTAGATTAGTTTTATTAGAAAGATTTAGCAGAGGGAGGATTACCAACTTTTGAAACTTGCTGAAACGGGTTTTAACTTATTTAGAAAAAAAAAACACTGAGAGTCTTTAGACAATTAATGGTATCAATGTCGATGCAGCTTATTGATGAAGCTGAACCTAGTTAAAGAACAACTTGAGCAAGTTTTATGTTTATTGCTAAAGTGAAAACAACAATTTCACTTTTGCAAAAAAGCTATACTAAGAATTATCAATTTGTACCTACTCATTTTGCTCAATTCTATTTTGCTTAGATGCCTAATCTTACTTTTTGAGGAAACCAATAACTAACAAAGATGTTTGTTTTGAAAAACTCAAATATTTTCTTTAAACTCTTATTAGGCTCTTTTATCAACTCAACGATTGCCAAGAGTCGTGAAAGGCTTGAGAACATGCGCCTTTGGGTTAAAAAAAAACTTATATTTTAGTTAATACTATTGGCTATTCAAAATAAAAACCCACAACCTCCATCAATGTCTAATTTGATATTTATTTAGTAGAGATCATATTTGTCAACAATGTTGTCAACCAAAAAACAACGTGATTGCAAAAAATGGATAAGCTCTAAATTTTTCAAGTTGTTATTTAATGCATAAAACTTTATAGAACTATTGATAGAATTGAATGCTTTCTTAAATTGACTACATTGACTACATTGATTAAATTGACTACATTGACTACTTAAATTGACTCCCAGATAAACTTGATTTCATTGATTTACATTTTGTTCAACTTTAGAAAAAAGTGGCATCTTTGTGAATCTGTTTCAAAGAAAGCCTAAACATATATTGAAACCTGCCATTTTCCATTGTAGAAACAGGATTGAAACAAAAATGCGCTCTCAAATTTTCAGAATTGAAGTTTCTAGGAACAGTTAAGTCCTCTTGTTACCAAAACATTTTCTCTGCAATCTTAAAATGCTGCGACCTTTGTTTTCTTTAGCACATTACAGGTGGTTGCACCCCAAAAGCCACGCGAAAGTAGGAGGGTCTAGATTTATTTTCTAGGGACAGATCATAATTTTGTTAATATGGGTTCTGAAAGATAAGCCTAAATAGGGTTCTTCCTGGTAGGTATGGTTTTTTAAGTCTCGCTTGAGTTCTTTTTCTAGAATGTTGAAGTTAACCACACTTTTTTTCATGCACCCCAAAAACAACATTGACAAAATTGGCTATAAAATCTAAACTATTTGGAATTAAGACCTGATTTTTTGTAGAAGATAGTTATAATAAATTAGTCTTAGGATGATTGTATCATTGCTAACTTAAATTTTTAGGATGTACTTCAATGTACCACAAAAACCACATCATGTGCACCCCAAAAACCACGTTGGTTATTTGAATATTTTAGAAAATATATAAAATTCAATAAAAAATTTTTAGGATGTACTCTAAGATAGTAGCTCTTTGTCATCATAAATAAAAAAAAAAAAAAGTTAATGTATTGTGGAAATACTACCATTGAACTATGTTATGTTTTTTGTTGTTTTAGAATTTTGTTTAATATAATATTATAAAGTAAAATGAAACCATCATCTGCATTACATCTACGTATAAACAAATCAAGAAATCTCAGTACTAAAGCTGATGCCATAGTGGCCAGAAAACACACAAATGATAAAAATAAACAGTTAGAAGCTGCAATAAATTGGTGCAAAAAATTTAATGGAAGGGGACAAGCAGCATTAAAGACAGGTTTGTTTCCCCTTATTAAAGATAGAGAGACAATCAACAGGCGATTAGATGGAAAAGTGATTAATGGAAAAGAAAGAGATTATTGTACTATACTTACAGATGATGAAGAAGCATCTATTGTGCGTTTTATAAAAAATAAGAACAGATGTTTACAGGCAATTAACAAACAGGACATAACCAAAATAATTATTAATGTGCTTCGTGTGAGAGATTACACTAATACAAAAATGAAAGGTGGACGGAAGTTTCAAAAGTTATCATTAAATGCTCGAGCTGCTCTAGAAAAGGGAAAGTAAGTTTAATTGAATTCATTTAATCTACAATGATCCTATAAAAGTATGTAAGACGGGTAATATGACTCTTTTCTTTATGTAAATATTCCATTTTATAGATTGAGTCGATCATTTTGGCTTCGTTTTAATGCTAAACATAGCAGCCTTACAATCAAACGCCAAGGGAGTGTCTCGATAAACCGTGCACTTAATTGTTCAAGAGAAATGGCATGTAATCATTTAGGTAAGTTATTAATGAACAAATATAAATTCATAAATCTGAATGTACTTTTTTTTTTAATTTGTTCATTTCCCTATAATAACATTATTTCAGATTCCCTTGCTAAAGAACTAGTAGATGTTGGTATTATGATAAATGAAAAAATGATTGAAACAGGGGTTTGGAATGGCACTGTTGATACATGCCGAATATTTAATTGTGATGAAACCCCAGTTTAATTATTATGGAATTGGTGGTACCACTTCTGGATTATTTTATGCTGGCAAAGGAGATGCATGTCAAAGAATGTATAGAGAAAACATAGAATGTGTCACAATTCAACCAATTGTTTCATTTCCAGGTATGCTATAATATGTTATGGTTCAAGAAAAAATTGAATACAAATAAATACAAGCATTAAAAAACTTTTTTATTTTTTATTTTTAGGCGACATATGTATGTGTCAGGTAATATTTAAATGTACTGGTATTACTAGTTCTATGGTTCCAACAGAAGCAGTAAATAAAATTCCCCATTTGTTGGTCACAACTACAGATAATGGAGTATCAACCCATGAATCTTTCTTGGCAGCATTGAAAGAGTTTGATGTCTACTTAAATGAAAAAAATGTTAAGCGACCCATCGTCTTATTATCAGATGGACATAGCTCTAGACTAGACTTTGATGTATTATCTTTTTTGGAGTCCAAAAGAATTCATCTTTTTCTTACTCCACCAGACACAACAGGAGTTACTCAACTTCTTGACCAAGTAAACAAGAACATTCATAGTGAGTATCGTAAGCAAAAAGACTCTATGTTTTCTGATATCTGTTCCTTAAACAAAGAAGCTTTTATGTTAGTTTTAGCTAATATATGGGACAAGTGGACAACTAAAGAAACGCTTGTAAAATCTGCTAAAAGGGTTGGTGTTGCCGAAAATGCATTGAGTGTTGATTTTATGCAAAAAGACAAATTCGAACGAGCAGAAAACTGTATTGAACCAGAAAAACAGACTTCTCCACTAATTTCTTCGCCGGATAAAAGACGTGGTTCAGCAAATTATTGGAAATCAAAATTTGAACAAGCGATGGAGTTGATTGATGAACTTCATGAAAAGAGCATTCAGCTGGAAGAAATACCTGGTTTTATGACAACCAAAAAGATAAAGCCAAAATTAACAAAAGATGCAACACGTGTTACCCAAGTACATGGATCAATGACTGCAAGCGATGTAATAACTCTAGTTGAAAGCATAAAAAGAAAAAAAGAAAAAGAAAAGGAAAAAAAAGAAAATGCTGCAAAAAAGAAAGAGGAAGTTACAAGACTCTTTATAACATGTAAGCTTCAATGCTATTGCGAGGAGATAAAATGTAAAGCTTTTGGCTTAAAGCAGTGTCCAACCTGCCTCAATATAATGCGGTCCATTTGCAGCAAAGCAAACTGCAAAGTAAATGGAAAAAACCCAGAAATGATTTTATCTGCAGCTGCTAGAAAGAAATAACTGTGATATTCAAAATCTTTTTTATTGAATGAACTATTTGTTTTAAATTTGTTGTAAAGACTTGTTCTGGATAAACTTTTTTTTTTTAACTTTTTCTTAGCGCACCCCAAAAACCACATGTTAAAATGTAATTTTTAAACTTTTGTTTACAAGTTTCCCTTCTACTTATAATAAAAATGGTTTGATTTATGTAAATAGCATATAAAAGATAAGCAAACTAGATGGGATTTGCAAACTTAGTCTAAAAAACCAATATTTTATAGCAATATTACTTAAAACTCAATTATTTTTCTCAGCACTTTTTAAGTTTAAAACGGTTGTAAAAAAAACTCCTTTATTGTTAATATTGATTTCTTTTGTTTTAATTGTTGCTGAAACATTACTTTATGAGAAAAAATTTCTCATATGGTTTTAAAATGCATATTTAAATTTTTAGAGCCTTTTAACTGACCGCGTTGTTTTTGAGGTGCCTTGGTTTTTGGGGTGCATCTACCTGTATTAAGATTTTCTGCTGCACAAGGAAAATGAGTAATAATTGACTAAATATTTTTTCTCACACTTTAAAGAGTACAAGGAGTTGGATATGCTATTTTTTAGCCTGTTGGTTGCCAATAGCGCAGACAGCAAAAGATTTTATATTTCCTTGAGTTTAAGTTTTAACTAAAACTCAAGGAAATATAAAATTGTTTGCTGCATTTACTTAGGCCTTTGTAATAGAAAAAGACTTAGCCTTGGACTGTTCCGATTGTATTGAAACCAGCAATTTCATAGCCTTGCTATATCACACATTGTGGGATACAGCCCGGTTAGGCATTGTATAAACAGACCCGATGCTTGGAATTTATCTGCTACTGCAGTTTGAGATTTTTGTATAATTGTAAAAGCGTAAGCAATTAGAACAAATTAATCATTACCCATTTATTGCAAAGGCTTTTATTAACCAAGCATACATATTTTCTGTCATTACAAAACCCTTTTCCATCATAAACTCGATGATCTTCCTAAAAAAAGAAAAAAATTTATTAAAAATTAGTCATTTTACTCATAACTCCTCAAAGATCTCCTAACAAAAAATCAAACTCCTAGCAAAACTTTTTTTTTTTTTTTTAGTTTAACAAAATAATTTGTATAATTTGCAAAGTTTTTTTAATCAGAAATCTAAATAAATATTCTATTAAGCATCTAGTACATTTTAATTTTAAAAATATAAAAGAAAAAAACTTTTAAACTGTGGTCATGATAAAATGAAAATTTTGTTAAGCTTTTTTTTTATAAGATGCAGATATAAAGCTGTTATAATAGTAATGTAACAGTTGGCTTCAGATATTTAAACTTAAATTTAAGGTGTGTAATTTTTTTACTAAGATTTCAAATAATAACAACTAAAAGTTATATGTCAGGTACTATCAACAAGAAATTAAGTTTAATAGAAAAGCCCTTGAGATGGCTAGCCAAAAAATAACCAATTTAATGGATTGTTTTTAATGTTGACAACTATTAACAAGTAAACAAGAATTCACAATTTGTTATATTTGTAAACTTTTTTTAAACATATATTTAAAAAAAACACAAAATCTATAAATGCTTTAGATAAACATTGAAATAAAATAATATACAATGATTACATCATTGTATATTATTTTAATATACAATAATGTAATTTTTATGCCTAAGTTGCATAAGTGTAACCTGATATGATTTTTTTTTTTTTTTTTTTGCTATTTCACCTCTACAAGGCCGAGAAGGTCACTACAGATGAGGAGGCTACTTAATTGTGGTTATAACCCTCTCTCTAGTCTATAACTCCGAAACATGAAACTTGACAAACAAAGCCGCTGCACGGAGAAACAAGTTGATATTACTTATAAAATTGGAGAAATTTATGAAGATATTATCACACAATCAAAAATGCATTTCCCAAGTCTTTACATAGTAAAAATAAATATATAATAATACAGATAAATGTGTTTAACAGACCTAGAATCTTTAAAATGAATTTTTAAAATCATTTAAAACAAATAAACAATCATATACATGTTGAAATGTGTCTCAGGTCTGGTATGGAAAATTACCAATTTAAAGCAAATTTATAACTTGTTGATAAAATTATTATATTTAAAAAAAAAAAAATTAATTCTGTACCTTAAATTTTTAATTAATTTATCTATTAATTCAGTATATTCATTATTCAAAAAGTTATATTTCTAAATATTATTTAATTAAAACATTATACATACATAACACCTAGTGGATCTCCTCGTTCAGCATACATTTGGATAAGCAGAGAAAAAGTTGTCTATGAAAACAAAAATAAACCTTTGATTAAAAAAAATGTCTTAATGACTATAGTCAAAACTAAAAGATCATAAAAATTAAGAGGGATATTTTTAATTACTGAAAGAATAACTTATTTAGTAAACATTTTTTTAAGTCAAACATAACAATAAAAACACAGTAAATTATGAACCCATAAAAAAAAAACTTTTTTTTTATTTTACTTCACCTCCTCAAGGCCATGAAGGCCACTACAGACAAGGAGGCTACTTATTTTGTGGCTATAACCCTCTCTCAACTCTATAACTCCGAAACACGAACCTTGACAAACAAGGCCGCTGCGCGGAGAAACAAGTTGAGCGCGGTACTACCAGGGACGTGGTGGGGATCGAACTCGGAACCACTCGTTTATGAAGCGAGCGCTCTACCACTACACCACTACTGCATAATAGTCCAACAAATGAAAACTGCACATAAACACACACACACATATATATCAGCGTTCAAATTAAGCATATCACAATTGCGATTGCTTTTCAAATCTTCTTGATTATTATTATTATTTTTTTCTTTATATTTTCGTGATTTCTTTTTTTTTCTTCTTTTCTTTGCAAACATTTGTTCTCTTGCACCGAATGAGTTTAAATTACTTCAAATCTCAGCATAGAAGTCAATAATATTTTGAAGTTATACTTTGTTTGATTTACTGAATAGATAAAGTACATTTCAGTATATTTTTCTATAAACTAAATCAAAACAACCAGTTAAGGTCAGATTTATCCTGCTACTGGTAACATGTAACCCAGTACAATCTGCTTCATGTCCTGCTGCCTTGTAGGATATGCCTTTTTAGACAAAAGCTAGGAGATGCAAACTCCGACATAAAACACCCCCTGCCTTAGGGCTCTTGGTTGAGTAGAAGCTAGAGATGGTGTCTCGATAAAAATACTCATCTTGGACAGATGTTAAATGCATCTGGCTGCTATCTTGTAGAAGGCTTCCTAGGCAAAGACTTAAGGGATAAAAAGATTCTATCTGTTGACCAGCCTCGCACCCCTTCTTCATCTATTAGGCTGGCGCAGATGTATTCTTAATACATTGTTTCCAGTTTAGGATGTTGAATGCTGGATCTTCTTGACTCCATGTATGGGTTTTGTTTGTGTCTCTGTTTTTATGACTAGGCAACTCATTCTATTATCTCCTGATGAAGGTACAGCTCTAAAACTCAGTTTTATGGTTCTGAGGCCGGCTGGTAGTCAGGTTTCAATAAAGTAACAAAAACTATAAAACACAAAAAACCACTGTCATCAGCAAGTTCAGTAAACCTATCATTCACCAATATTCTTCTAATAGTCTTCGAAGTAACTTTCTTTCTGTTGAGTCTTATCTCTTGCAAAGTTCACCAGACCTACTTGCTCTTTGTGAGACTAATTTGAGTTCAGCTGTCTCATCTTGTGATTTTAGTGTTGATGGTTATCTTACTTTCATTCGTAAAGACTCCAATAGTCACATGCTTGGCCTGGGCACTTACATTCAGAAGAATTCACCCATTTGTCGGGAAACTAGGTTTGAATCCACAGACTACTCTTTTATGTGCTTTTGTTTAGCACCAATTCACTCTATCACCTTTGTTCTCTTTGTTCTATATCACTCTCTTTAATCTCAAGACTGCACTCTTCTTGATGCTATTTATGATCATATTGACCAAGCCCTCTCTCTTTATCCATCAGCCAATATTGTTGTTGTCGGTGACTTTAATGTTCATCACACTGAATGGCTTGGCTCTAGTGTCAGTGACCCTGCAAGCATTAAAGCCCACAACTTTTGCCTTTCTCAATCCCTAACTCAAATAGTCAACTTTCCAACTCGCTTTCCAGAAAACCTGAATCATTTATTTTCTCTAATCAACTTATGTCTTGTTTCTGATCCTACTCAGTCCTCAGTTTCTCCACATTCACCCTTAGGTGCCTCTGATCACAGTTTGATCTCTCTAAAACTATTATCTCATTCTTCTTTATCATCAGAATCCCCCTATCATCGCACATCTTACAACTACCTTAAAACTGACTGGGACTCTTTCTGTGATTTTCTTTGTGATGGCCCTTGGGTAGAAATCTTTCATCTTCCTGTTGACAAATGTGCTTCTTACATAACTTTGTTGATTCAGGTTGGCATGGAATCCTTTATTCCTTCTCGACATTTCCAGGTCAAGCCTCACTCTTTTCCATGGTTTTCCTCACATTGCGCTGCTGCAATTGTCAATCAAAACCGTTACTTCCATATCTATCAGCAAAACAATTCTCCAGAAAACAGACGTCTAATTATTACTGCTAGGAACCATTGTAAAGAGGTTTTGACTAATGCCAAAGCCCGCTATTCTCAGGTTATGAAATTTCGTATTAAAATCTCAAAAATTAGGCTCTCGTGACTTTTGGAGAATCTTTAATAGTCAATAATAAGGGCAAGTCTGTAATTCCACCTCTTTTGTACGGTTCAGACTTTGTCACCTCACCTAAAGACAAAGCTGAATTGTTTGCTAAGAACTTTTCATCAATATCATCTCTTGATTCCACTAGTTACGTTCTACCTGATATAGCTGCCAAACAGGTTGATCCATTGCTTGACATTCGTATCAACCCAGCTTCTGTATCTAAGTGATTTCCTGCTTAGACTCTTCTACAGCTTGTGTCTCAGACAACATACCTGTTATAGTCTTGCAGAAGTGTTCGCCGGAGCTGTCATCTATCCTTTCAAAACTATTCAACAAGTGCTTATCAGAATCTTGTTTTCCAGCCTGCTGGAAAACAGCATCTGTTATCTTTGTTTTTTTTTCTGGAGAACGATTCGATTCGTCTAACTACCGTCCCATTAGTCTTCTTCCTATCATAAGCAAGGTTTTTGAATCTTTAACTAACAAAAACTTAATCTCCCATCTTGAATCTAATAACTTACTTTCTGATCATCAGTATGGATTTCGATCTTCTTGTTCTACGGCTGATTTGGGGCTCACAGTAGCTGGTGAACTTTAATTCAGATAAAACTCAATTTTTTTCAGCCTATCGTTATCACAATAATTTAGATCTTCCTATATTTATGAATGGTAATGTACTTGATGAGTCATCTACCCTTTATCTTCTAGGATTAACTCTTAATTTTGATCTTTCTTGTAAACCATATATTAAATCTGTTGAAAAATTAGCATCTGCTAAAGTTACATCTCTATATTGAGCTCGACACTTTCTTACTCTGAATTCTATTCTCTATTTCTATAAATTTCAAATTTGACCTTGTATGGAATACTGTTGCCATATATGTGGCAGATCTTCTAATGATGCTCTTTCTCTTTTAGTCAAGGTGCAAAAAAACGCATTGTAAACATAGTTGGGCCTGCTCTTGCAGCCAACCTTCAACCATTATCACATCGTCATAATGTTGCTTCTCTATTTTTCTTTTCTACAAATACTATAACGGGCACTGCTCTAAAGAGCTAGTGTCTCTTGTGCCATCTACTAAAAGTAACTCTTGTGTTACTTGTCATTCAATCAAGCCTCATCCTTTTTCTGTTACTGTTCCTAAGTGCTCCTAAAACTCTTACTTGTCTAGTTTTTTTCCTTGAACGTCAGTTCTTTGGAATTTGTTTCCTTAATTTTGCTTTACCGATTCATATCTTGCTCTACAATCTTCATCTTTTCTCTTCCAGTAACTTCCAACACTAATAAGTGGTTGCTTGCAGCCTTGTTGGATATAAAGATGTTTGAAAAAAAAAAAAAAAAAGTTACAGCAACTTACAGTTACTCAACTATTAAATTTACTTAATTTACTCAAAAACTCACGAAAGTTAGCCATACAAATGCTTCAATTAATATCTTATATGTTGTAAACACATAATATAAACTTCTAACTAAAAATTATTTCAACAAGAAATCTCGAATAGAATATGAAAAAAGTGATACTATTTTTTTTATAATTTTTTTTTTATAATTTCAAGCGGTATCAAGACATTTTCTATAAATACACAAGTGGGATTAATAGATTTAGGGATTTTTTTTAAAAAAGAAATCTATTTGAACAAAAGAATTTTAGTCTTCTAAAATTCTCTTATTCAAATAATTTTGCAATTGAAATTTGAAATTAGAAAAAAAATTCTAAAAATTTTAAAGAATTTTAATGCTTAATAGTTATAAATTTAATTGCAGCGATATCTGTAATACCCAGTGCCATAGCGAGGATCATTCCTGAAAGTTAAATATATATCTAGCTACAGTAACATTATCAGATTTGGAATATAGTTCAAGTGAGGAAAAAAGTTTTATTTAAATCGTAAACATTTTATATAGTTAACCATTTTTTGTTTCTTGAAATTAGTTTTAAAAGTAGAAACATTATATTGCAAACATTAAATTAGTGATTGATGCAAATGTTAAACCAAAAATTAAATTACAAAAAATTTAAATTACAAATAATTTAAATTAAAAAAAAAAATTATATTAGATTCATTCAAAAAAAAAATTTTCAAGAAAAATAATTTAAGCATGTACTTAAACTTAAGGAAATATAATTTGATTTATTAAACCAAAATTTTTTTTTCACTTTTTGTTGCAAAACAATTTGAATGAAAAATTAATTGAAAACATCAACATTAAAAACCATTTGTATAAAAAAATTAATTATATTAATAGTTTGCTAAATCAAACTATAAAAAGCGTGGTATCGAATGTTTTTTTACTTTGATCTTATGCTTTTGGTCTATCAATATAGCATGTTTTTGCGTAAATATAAAGTTTAAAGTTTCATGAAGATGTTTTGATTTATTAATAATAACAATACTATTCATTTACTTTGCTTAATCTTGAATGCATTCTATGTTATTAATGTTACAAACTGTATAAAGCAGCAATAACACAGTCTCACAAAGTCGTTTTACATTAACACAAGCTCTTTATATTGTCAAAACAACTTTGCAGTTTGTTTTATTGCTGTTACTTACAATAACAATTCAATAGTCTTTAAAAATAACATGTGTTTTATTGTACTATGAACATATTAAATAGTTTTTTATAACTAACTAAACTTGTAATATTTGCATTTTTACTTTTACTTTTTTAAGTATCTTGTGAAATGAATTTAAAAAAAAGTAATATTGTAATAGTATTAAATATATTACTTACTCATTACATAATAACTAACTCATTGCACTATAACTGCAACTTAAACTTTAAATTACAATTTAGGCTTTAAATTATAACAATAACTTAATCTATTTTAAACTTTGCCAAAAGAGAAAATTATAAGATAATATTAAAATGAGAGATATAATAAAAAATAACAATCACAAACTAAAAAAGAAAAGAAAAGACATTTTTATACTAATGCAAAGCCCCTCTCTTACCGCAAAGCGGTGCCAGGGATGAGAGAGGAGAGAAATTCTTTTTTTTTCAATTTGATTTTATTTTTTGATATTTTTATAAATGAATTTAATGTTGTATTTTTTATTTTTTATTATTTCTTAAAATTGCAGCTTTGCAATCAATAACAATTATTTACTTTTAAAAAGTTATTCAAAAATAAAAAATAATACTTGTTGCAAAAACAAAAAAAACTCAACTTTACCAATGCTTTCTTTTTGTGACAAACAATGATTCAAGTTTTCTTAGTACTATTTATAAAAAAATATATTCAATTGGGCTTTCACTTGCCTTAAGACAAAAAATTTACGCTTATAAACATTTTTGATGCAGTGGTATATTATGTTTACAAGGAATTTAAATTTTTTAATCAAACTTTTTTATAAATTATAAGGAAATTTCTGTTTTCTGCTTGGCAGATAAAGGAAATTTCTCTTTATCTGCTAAGCTTGCGACTCAAGCTTGGCAGATAAAGCAATTCTAACTACATATATGATGTGCTTCTGGACCATGTCTGAGAGTGAGACGATTGTTATTAGTCAATATAGGAATGTGAATAATATTAATATATAACAATATAAATATATAACAATATAAGAATGTCAGCAATATTGCAACAGTTCTTTGCAGTAAATGAGATTTGTTGGAGTTAAAGTCCACAAACCACTGAAAGCCTCAAGCTGTGACAGAAGAGAGAACAGATTAACAATAGACTGTATTTTTTAAGCAACCAAAAAATAAAGACTTTTTGTCAAGACATAAAGTATAACGTTGAGTTGACAACAAATAGTGCCTTATACTTAGATGTAAGATTGTCAGTAAGATTGTTTTTTGTAGATAAGAAACGGTGCAGAAGCTGAAATAGAACCTTGCAGTACTTATAAAATTGCAGTACTTATAAGAAGAATGTTCAATAGAATAAATAGAACCTTGCAGTACTTATAAAATTGCAGTACTTATAAGAAGAATGTTCAATAGAATAAATAGAACCTTGCAGTACTTATTAAATTGCAGTACTTATAAGAAGAATGTTCAATAGAATAAATAGAACCTTGATGTACTTATTAAATTGCAGTACTTATAAGAAGAATGTTCAAGAAATGATTTAAATAATCTTTTAAATCATTTCTTAAAGAGAAGTAGCTGCTTTCGAAAAAATGGTAGAGGTAGAAGTAAGAAAACTTTGTGAAAGAAAATTACATATGGTATGAACAAGCTGTAGATGCTTGAGATACAAAAGGGGATAGTTAAAGCTTGAATATGATGATGCTGATGCTGATGATGATGATGACGATGATGATGATGATGATGATGATGACGACAATGATGACAATGATGATAATGATGATTATGATCATAATATTCATTATGATGTTTACATACAAATATTCATGAGTATATAAATAAAATATAGCGCGAATTTCGAATGAAAAAAATATACTTTAGGATGTATCAATGTTTATCCAGGTCACAGGTCACAAATCTGGCCCCCCTAACAAACCCGCCCCAGCCCCGGTCAAATTCCTCAATAGTAAGTAACTCTGGTTACTTACTATTGAGGAATTAGTATCTTTAAAAAGAAAATGATTATATTTAAAAAAAAAGTTTTATTAGCTGTTTTTTTTTTTACTTAAAAAAAATTCACAAATCTCATTTTTCATTTACCAAAATGTCACCCCAACATTTCATAGCACCTTTGAAAAAAAAATTTTTAAATCCCTGGTATTTAAAGAAGCATAATTTAATAAGGATTTATAAAAAAAAAAAATTTTAACATAAATATTTAAAAAATTTTTGAGGAAAAAACTAGAGAATACCAAAATTGGAGATGACTAGAATTTGAGATGACATGAAAAAGTTTAGAAAATTATGCTAAAGATTATGAATATTCAGGCCTCAGCGGGAATAAATGTGTGCATGAGCAATGAATTGCCTATCTAAAACAGAATCGGCGGACAATTTTTAGATAAAAAAGCTCATGGATAAACTAAAATTGATTATAATGTTTTGATATATACATCAGAAAAACAATTGTCAGCAAGACTTGTCTTTCTGATATTTATTTAAATTCAATTCACTATTTCAAATTCATTCATTATTTACTATGCGGTAGTGGTGTAGTGGTAGAGCGCTAGCTTCATAAGCGAGAGGTTTAGAGTTTAAACAAATTTCTTCAACTCTTTTTACTAGAGTTTAAAAATCTATTAGAAAATATTAGATTGCTTTTTTATTAAAACAATTATCATAATTATTTATAATTATTATTTTGTCTTTTCTTATTTTCATATTTAAAAAATTCATTTGTTACTCAATTTTTTCTAAGTTAAAAAACTGCACTGAAATAACTCCAAGCAAGATAGCAAGTAACTATAAGAAAAATAAAACTTGAATGAGTTTGATACTTTTAAAATTGTTTTTGCGTTATCTAATTCAGATTAAAATGAATAAATTTTTATCACTGTTTATTAAAAAAGATTTATTTTAAGTTTTAAATAAGTGTGTATCTATTACTTAATCTGATTAAGCCTTATTTTAGATTCTAAATTAAAAACTAAAATATTTTTTGTTTTTAAAAAGTTTTATACAATACAAAATATAAAATTCAAATAGTTTTTTAAAAACTACTAAAGCTCTTTACATCTTTGTTGTTATTTATATTCATTTCATTCACTTGACCAGAACTTTTTATCAAGTAACTTGTAGGCTCATAGAAATAATGTATACATAATAAAAACTTAAGTTATACACAAAATGTTTAAACTCTAAAATTTTTTTTTTCATTGATAAAGCAGTGTAGTCCTGTAAATGTTATAAAAGTCTAATATTGAGGCACGGCTAACAGAGTCATAGGTTTAATTCCTCATCAGATTGCTTATTTTTTAACTTTAATGCTTTTTATTAATTATAATAAAAAAATATGTTATTATTATATTGCAGTTTATATATAGCTAATACAGCTGACTCTCAATATCTCAAACTTCATTTCCGGTCCCTTGTGCACTCATTTGAGCCAAAATCTTCTCAATATCTCTGACTCTTGATATCTCTATTTTCCTGGTCCTCTGAGAGTTCGAGATATCGAGAGTCAACTGTATATATACACATATACATATATACATATATATATATATATATATATATATATATATATATATATATATATATATATATATATATATATATATATAATATATATATATATATATATATATATATATATATATATATATAATATATATATATTTGTGTGCGTGAATCAAAATGTGGACATTTTATATTGGTGCAATATTGTTAACAACATTTAGCGAACATAGACAAATATTGTACCAATATTGCACCAATCTTGCTTAAACTGTTATACTAAGTAATTTTATTAAGTATTAAAAATAATAATAAATATCAAAAAATTTATTTTATTTATTGATTAGAAGTAGAATTGTCAAATAATATATCGAGTAGAATTGTCTATGTAAACATTTAAAACAGTTTTTATTGAAAAATAAAGTAATAAAAAAACAAATGTAAAAATAACACAATTTTTTTTTCACCTGATTTGGTTCTAATTGTGAGTTTTTTCTTAAATCATTCAGAAAATCTACAGGATCAAAATCGCGCTTGTTCTCTATGTAAACAGAAAGGAGCGTATTCCAAAGGCCAATATTCATAGGTATTCCTAAAATGATTACTTTTAAATCATCAAAATGTACACTATATTAAATTATTCCAAAACATACACGATAAATGACGTGATAAAATCAGTCTGTATGCATTTTAAATGTATTTAAAAATCTTTAAGCACAGAATTTTTTTTAAACAAATAAAGACAAAAATTTATTTTTTTATATTTCATTAAACTTTTAATACTAATTTCATACTGACTATATTTCTGCTTTTTCTTCATCACATTCAAATTTCGGAATAAAGATAACTCTTCAGAAAATGAGAAGACTTTTTTATGCTGTGATTGCCAAATTATAATCTAGCTAATAAAAAAAATTTGATATGAAAAACCACTTACCACTTTTCTTAAGCATTTCCCATGCTTGCGTAACAAGTTCATTTCTAGTATCTTCATTTTCTCCAGACATATCAGAACCACACGACTTGATTATTTTGAATGCAACTGATGAAGATACTGCCTCTAAAGTATTTGCCATAAATTAAATAAATTTCTTTAAAATTAAAAAAAAAAACTCTCTTAATAACTTTGTCAACAAAAAAACGTTGTCTTTTTAAAATTGTATATAATCATTTTATTAAGTTTTATAGCAGTTATTTATAAAATATATTATAAGATAGATTTGTAATAATATCTAGTAATAACAGCAAATTCCTTATATTAATTATATATAACTATTTTAGTTAAACTAGAAAAAAAAAAAGATAAAAGATCATTAAAAAAAACAAAAACTTTATGGATATAATTTTTATGGATAGAAATGTGTACTAAAATAATAACATAATGATATTGACAAAAATTACTGTATCGTTTTTGCAATAGGATCATTCTTTAAAGAAAAGATCAACTATAAAATCTTATCAAAGAGCAAAAATATTAACAACACAAAAGATTTAGTGATTTAAACAAATTTTCTTATAGTAATACCAAATTACCTACTATCAGGGATCAATTTAACGGTCGGACATGGGACATTGTCCGGCTAAAACCACAAATTGTCCGATCAATTTACAAAGTAATCGGACATTTTGACCAAAGGGAATTAAATTCTCCAAATTAAATTAAAGTAAATTAAAAATAAATGAAAAGCTTTAAAATAAAACTCAGTTAAAATAACTTTTTGTTACGTTTTTAATTGCGTTTGAAATAAATTATTTTAAACCTTATCTTTATTAAAGTTACACAAAACGCTTTAACAAATTACTTATATTGATTGTTTAATGAATAAACAAATTTTATTTAAATTATTGAAAAGTGAAATTAAATTATTGACAAGAAAAAAATATAATACTTTTGTTTAAACATTTTTTTCAAAAAGTTGCAAAAAAAATTGTTTGAAAAAAAAATGTTATTTTAATTTAACTTATTCATAATTTGAAATAGTACATCCATAAAGTACGTATGCAGGTATGGGGGAGGGGGGTTCCCAAAAGCGTACAAATGCGTACAAGGGGTAATAATAAAGACAGTAGTTACGCGTTTTGACTATTGTAATCATGACTTTTTTTTTTCAACAAACATTGAATTTCACGTGTTTAACAAATCAGAATCGTGTTTTTATTTTCTAACATCAGTTACAACTTTTTAATTCTTTATTAATAATGAGAGAAAAAAAAGAATCAAGTTAATCAAGTTATGTGTACATACAGGGAGGGGAGAGAGGTCTTCCAAAGTGTACAGGTTCGTACAAGGGGAGAGGGGGTCCTAAATCAGTGATTTTACTGCGTACTTTATCGATGTCCTCTAACTTGAAAATAATAATCTTTTAATAAAAGATTTTTAGAAAGACTTTTTATAATAAATTTAAATGTTTGAAACTATTTTAAAAATAGTTTCAAACATTTAGATTTATTTTGAAAAATACAATACCTACTAAAAAAAAATTAAATGTAACATTTAATTTACACATAATATTTTTATTTTAAATTATAATTTTTGATTTTATTTAAAGTTTTGATTTTGTTTAAAGTTTTTTAAAGTTTTTAAACTTTAAAAAAGATCAATGATTGAAAGTTATTTGTAATGGAACGATTTTTTTATTGCATTTAAACATCAAAAAAGCTGTTGTCAAGTTGTAAAGAATAATAATAAAAAGCGTTGCCAGTTACAGCATGTTCAAGTTCAAGTCTAAAAAAACATACAATATTAAATTGGAACTATTTTATTAAAACAAAGCAAAAATCTGCGATAAAATAATTAAAAAAACTAACATTAAATAAACTTAATAACATGACAAAGATTTCAATTGCATAACTTGGTTCCGTAAAACCCTAAAAATTATATTTTAAAAAATTGATCGGACACTGTTCCACCCAAATAAGTTTTGATCGGAAATTTTGTCCAGGACTTTATAAAAAATTAAATTGACCCTTGCACTATTATCAATAGCAGTTTGGTAGAGTAATGAAACTAACTATAACATTTTTAATAATAGACACCAATAGGAAGGTAGCTTAGCTGTCTATCAACACAAAACTTTACAACAACAACCTCACTAAAATTATGCAAATAGTACTTAGCATAAGATAATTAGGTTCACATTACATTACACTGAATATTACCAAAAATATCTGTTTTCTAAATAATTGTAAATGGCTAGGGCAACAAAACCTAGATATACCTAGATATAGCAAAACCTATTAGGGCTAAATGCTGTCACATCTCTACTTAATAAACTGCTAGGCTAGTAAGGTTGGCAATCTAGCTTTACAGCATATAACTTTTTCTTTTTTTTTAATAGAATTTTATTTATAAAAAATATCCGTCATAATCTAGTAGCATAACAGTCTAGCTCTACACATATTGCAAGTCACTTACTTAGCTAGTTAAAAAGCCTTGCTCTAGATGCACTGCAAGTCACAACACTTGCTTGGTTAGCTTCACTGCCTAGCTCTAGCTCTACACAATTGGTTATAGATCATAACATTTTAAAAATCAGTTATAACAGCAACAAAATTAACTTGATTAAATATTATTGTAAAAAATTATGTTTAATGGTCAAACAATAATCATTAATAAATTAGCAGGGAGGGGGGTCCAAAATTCTATATTTCTTGTTTAACCAGTTATTCTGAATTAATTTTTTGAGAAAAGTTCAAAAAACAATTCAGTTTTTGCTATTTTTTTATGGTTGACCTTCTACTTCTATTTTAAAAATTTAAAAATATAAAAAATAAAAGTCTTCGCAAAAGTTTCTTCGCATATAAAGTTACACAACTTTTCTTTCAAATTTATTATTTATAAACTTTGCTGCTAGAAAAGCTTGTAAAGTCTTGGTAACGTTAGAAAAACTAGATACTTAATACAGAAATGTTTTCTTTCTTTGTTGTGTTTAATGGCTTGATTCGCTGTGATTGCCAAATTATAAAATAAAGTTTAAAATAAAGTATTATTGTTACATTTATTAAAGTATTGTTAGTATGTTGCCATTGTTACTATTGTCATTAAAGTACATTTAAAATTTAATCTAAGTAAAATGTGAAAATGCTATGTTTTTATTGAATCTAAACTGCTTTGATAAATAGCATTTAGAACAAAATAAACTGAATTACACAAGTAATGTAAAAGTAAAATATAAAGCTAAAATCAAAATATATTTAAAAGATGAAAAATAGACATACACCAAATGGTTCAGAAAAAATAACTCTGCAAGAATAATAAAAGTTTAAACAACTTTTATTATTCTTTCAGAAGTTTTTTATTTCCTGTCAAAAAGAATGAAATAGTATTGCCACATCAATATTAAAAATCTTTTCAAAAATAAATATTAACTTATATAATATACTTTTAAATATCTATTTTGTCAACGACTGTAGAAAACTTATGCAACTGTAGTTAAAAGCATAAATATCTTTTGAAGTAATTTCATCATTTGTTTTTTTATTCTTTATAACAGTGCTGGCCCCACATCCAACTTTTTTAATATTTTTTTTTAGTAAAATTCAATTTACAGAGGTTATTTGCAGTTTTACATTAATCTAAAATATCAGCTATAATGAACTTTGACATTATGTCTTTTAATAGTTGATAAAGATCGTCATATAAAAATGACATCATAGGTTTAGCATATTGATATATGGTTAAAAAAGGATTGCATAATATGAGCTATATGAGCAAAGAAATAAAATTTTGCTAAAATTAGAGGATCCTTAGTAGCAGATAAAACAATTTGGTAGCTCATGCATGAAGGCTGCTTACTCTTAGGTAGAGATCCCAAAACCTACATATTTTACAAATGCTCTTTCAAATATTAACAGCTCTTAAAGCCAACTTTTCATCATCAACCCATCAAGTACCACAAAAAGGAAGAGAAAATTGATTTATTATCCCGTCTTGCAGGAGAATCATGGAAAAGTTTATAAAGAGCTTTTAAAATCTTTTTAATACCCCAGTCTGTTTTTCCCAGTTTTGAATGATAGATGAATCGAATGAAGACCACAAGGTCCAGTCGGAATCAGTTTGTTAATGTCATTTTCGGCACGATAGTTTTGTAAATCAGAGTAGAAAACCCAATTTGCAGTTGGGCCATCCATAGATACTCGAACAAGTTTGGTTTTGTTTAAAGATTTTAAACCCAACAAATTATGCAGATCTCTACCTCGACTATGCCCAATAAAGGTTGAATCTTAGATAACAAGTACAAACACAGTTTAAAACACTATCCCAATAATTAACAACAAGATCCATTTGTCCCATTTGCACAACTGAGTTAAGACTTTCATAGAAAGAAACAACATAAAAGTCTGATTTATCTATATCTCTAATAAGAACTAATTAAAAATGAGGAGCTATTCCAAAATTTATATAATATGAGCACTTTTTGAAGAGAGAACTTTCAGCTATAGCACTGTCAGGAAACGTTGATTTAAAAAAAGTCCATTACTGGATCAAAAAGAAAATGATGACAAAATATTTTTAAGTGTCTATCTGATCTCTGCATTAATAACTGAACCTGACACAACATGGGACTGAAGAGTAGAAACTTGAACTGTGTTTTCTGGCAAAGTGGTTGTTACAACATGTATATTTTTTGACACATTAGTAAATAGTATATGTGTCATTTTTAAGTGCAGAGACAAACATTCACAATGCTTCTTTTCTGTTGAATGACTTTTTAACGCTCTCAGGCCCATATTAGACAGTTCAATTTTATTTCTTGGATGTGGACAAACTCTACATTTTGCTGAGGTAGTTGTATCCCCACACATTAACCAAGCTTTATATTCTAGAATTTGTAACCACTGATCATCAAAATATACTAAGTTCA